TCTCTGTTGCTGTTCATGGCTGTTGCTGGAACTGCAGGAGCCATGGGAAATGAATCCTAGAGTTGGACTCCTGCTGCGTAGGGATTCCCTAGCTGGCGTTCCCATCGGTATTTAGGAGCGTGACTCCTCACAGATGGGTAGCACTGGCCAAGAGGATGCTTTTTGCCACAGCTGGGCACAACATTAACTTTCAGTCCGCAATCGGACTGACTTCTGAAGCAGCTCGTTTTGCTGCTGGTGCTGTTTCCCTGCAGTATCCCAGGCACTGCTGCTTACTGAACCTGCTGGAGCTCCCCTGGGGTGAAGCGGCAGGGGGATGGGGTTTACTGCGTTCTAACGGCCACCTTCAAGTTCAGATGATCCTGCCTGCACTAACAAACGAACCACCTACGCGCCCTGCAACCTCCTAATGAAGGGACGATCTGCATGTAGGTATTAAATGTGGGTTTACTAATTAGTCTTCTCCCTTTCCCCTCCTAGCGAAAAAGACAAGATCACCACCAGGACCCTGAAAGCTCGCATGGACTAGCCCAGCACATCTGCTCATGTGTTTCACATCCCACTCTGCTTGGAACTTTTTTAAATAAAACTCTCTATTGTAGTGAAGTTTCCTTTTCTTGAGGCTGAACACTAGGACTGCTCATCTCTATCGGAAGGAGTTTGGGTTTTAGATGGGAGCAGAGCTTACCTTTCTATCTGAGCCACCTAATCTCCCCCAGTACGCCCATGTGTGTGACTGAGCTTCAGCCTCACCCTTGGGAGTCAGCAGCACCTCCTTCAGAGAGCACAGCAGTATTAATTTTTCCTGTCAAATCTCATCTGTTCTCATATCCAGGACTTGGTAAAATCAGTTCTTGCTTAAAACCCCCATTTTACAGGCGCGTATAAAAAGACCTTCCCAGTTGTGATTAATCTAGGACTTAAAATGACCACATACCTCATGGAGTAACAGTCGATTGTGAGAGCACTTTAAAGAGGACAGCAGTACAGATGTACACAAAGTTTTAATTTTATTTTTCTCTGGTTGGAGACTCATCTTGTAACATGCATGCATTTCAAAACAGTAACAGTGTCTCAAACTGCTCCTAGCAAACAGACAAGCACAGAGGACTTAAAATTCCTATTTAAAAAACAGCAGTGAAAAAACCTAGAATGCTTTTTTCTTTTTTTTTTTTCCTTTTTTAAAATTTTTTTAGTTTTAGATTAAACTTAATTTATTCACATTTTTTCAGTTGCACTGATTAGCCCTGCCCACCCTTGTGACCTGTGTGTAATACGCTCGCTCGACACCGCTCAATCCGGCTGCATTTAGCACTGTGCCGCTAAACAAAGACCAGCACAACTTCCGAGTGGTAAACACTGAACCCACTAAAAATAATGGATGACCAGCAGTTGGCTCCCCGAGCTTTGCCGTTACTATTACACAAGAATTCCTTTCAAAAGAGCAAGGAAAATCAGTAGTGGCTAATACAGATACTGGAGAATGGCTCTGCAAAAGGAGGGGAAGTTGGCGGGGAAACCTGAAATGGGGCATTAAGACACAGACGGGGAGAGGATAGCTGTTTTGTTTTCGGAGCTATTTTAAGGACAATCTGTCTTGGATCGGTTACGCAGCGTTGCAAACCAAGTTTAGGACACACACACTGACTTCGGAAAGGTTTGTACCACCTCGAGGTTGAACACTTTGACCTCTGCAGCTGGAAGGGAGGCATCTTGTAAAGACTGCATAGTAGTCACCGGGGTGGGAGGCATCCGTCCGTCGAGGCCAAGACACAACCCCAACCAAACATGGCCCCTAACTGCCATGCAGCCTTGCTTTGTGCCTTTTCTCGGGCTAAGAGGCGAGTCCCCAGCTGCTGTCCCCACTGAGGGCAGCTGTGGCAGCGCTCTGGAGGGGAAAAAGCAGGAGTTTCCTCCCCGGAAAGGAAATAAAAGACTCTGAAAGTGTTTTAGTGTTCTTGCCGATGATGATAATCCAATTCAAACCCAGGAGTCTCAGATGTGGGAGTACGGCCTCATTTACGCAGGAAATCTGGAGTCACCTACTACCCCAGAAGTTCGCCCTATGATGAATTTCACGATCGAGCGTGGCTTTTGTAATTAAAACCAGGTCAATCAGAGGTGTGGATGAGACCAGAGGGAAGGATCCCACCGCTCCTTGTTGTGAGAAGTGAACTCCTGCTGACATTCTTCTTACAGCAAATACCAGGCCCTCTTCCTAGCGCTGACACCAACGCTGACACAAAGGGCGGGTGCTGCCTGGTACCTCCAGAACATGGGGGTCCCACGAACGGGTGACCCAACACGTTCTCGAGTGGTTTTTTTATTGCACTATTGGGGCAGAACCGCACCCAAACTGTGACTCCGCACTCTGCCTTCCCTCTCCCACTCTTATTTACGCTGTAGGAGCTATCTCAACGGGGAAGATGTAAGTTCTAGGTTCAAAGCAGTTTTCAGTTTTTAAATTTTGACTGATTAGGCTCGTGTTCAGAAAGAGAGAGACCCTCGGTACAGGCAGGACTATGGATCCTGCAGCTCGCTTCTCACACAAACTCACCCTGCCTTCAGGCACTGGAGACACTGAATTCTTTTTTTCTTTTGGAAACTCCAGTTGACCAAAGAATTGCACTGCAATTTCTTGACAAAATCCTGCACTCTGACCAGGATCCGAGTGATCTGTCTACCTACTGCAACTCTTTTAGCCGAGGGTGGTTTTCAGTCAAATGCACTTCAGTGTGAAGTGTTCCGCAGGGTACATGCTACAGACAGAAATATCTACATTCAGCAAACTAGAACTAAATTCACACCAGAAACAGACAACAAACTAGCACAAGCAGTTGTAAAACCAGAATTGAAAGGGCTGGGGTTTCGTTTTTAAATACTTGAGTTAAAAAAGTGACCTAAAACAAGATTAAAAAAAAAACCAAAACAAAACAACAAAAACAAAAGTCCCTTTTTAAAACAAATCAAATATTTGCAGCTTCACTTCTTATTCTGGTAATAAAAATACTGTCTAGAAACAAAAATTAGCATTTTTAACATAATGCTACCTCTCAAAATGTAAACAATATACAAAACGCTTATGTTAAACAAAGTTACATACCTGGGTAATACATCATTAAGTGAGAAAATTGCATTTAATTACTTTAATACACACAGTATGGCAACTTGACAGAAGTGGCAGAATTGGGGAAGTGCTAAAGTGAATAGAGTTTATGGGGCTTTTCATGTCACTTGAGCCAGAGACAGCCAATTTCTTTCTAGCAGGAGTTTCTTTGGAGTGGAATAAGAAAATACAGTTAACTGCTCTGAAGCCCTTAGTATCATGACTTCTGTGAAGATTGCTGCAGGAACTAATTGCATTTTAATGTCACTCCTGTTTATGAAATTCAGTGAATGAGACCGTTGCTCCTAGTTATGCAAGCTTCGTTCTTTTAATCTCTTTGGGTGGTTTGTTTTGTAGTGTCTCATTGCAGGGTATCTGCAGTTCAACTTTCCTTCTCTCTTCCTCCCCCCTTTTCCTCTTCTTTTTTTAATACATGATTTAAAGATAAAACAGTTTAAAAGGTACAAGCTAAGTTTCCCAAAAGGAGAATGGCAAACTTACCAGGCCAAAGTTGCAGATTCAATGCAGATTTTTAAAACTGTCAAGAATAAAAAGTGATCGGTATTTAATTTCTAATTGATAGTAAACTTAAGTGCTTATCGTTTAAGAGAAAAGCCACCGATATAATGCCCACAAAACTAAGCTGATGATACCCTCTAAGTCCTCCCTTTTTTAAAGTATCCTCATAGCTGCATTTGTTTTGCGGCCTTTCCAGCTACACACCTTAAGACATGAGACTCTTCGGCCTCCCAGACAACGGCGTGTTAGCCCCCACACCACACAGAACAGGGACTGGACTGCAGCGGCAGATGAAATTTGTCCCAGGTCAAAGGGAATGACCCATGAATGAATAAAAAGATTCATATCCCATTATGACCCCTCATATTAATTTTTCATTTCTTCAAGACTCTATTTACAGTGCACTCATGGGCTGAAACCTTAGCCCCCTTTTGTCCCCTTCGAAGTTGAGACCTGTGGGATTCACATCACGAATGTGGGTATGAACATAAAAAAAAAAAACCCAAGCCCACATTCAGAATCCAGACCAGAGCTAGCATTAGTCTAGGGAAATTACCAGGATGTGATGAGCACCAGTTATCTCTCAAAAGGACCAAATTCCACACAGCAAACTGTAGCACGCGTTACAGCACAGGACAGACATTCGAAACAGCTTATTCCCGAAACAAAGGCATATGTGAAAACAGTTTCAAGGCAGATAAGCAACTTGTTTCAACTGCAAGAGGTTTGTTCAAAACGCTAAATCCTGCTTAGAAAGAAACAGAAAATTAAAAAAAGAACCAAAATATCTGTAACTGTTGTGCAGCAGAGCTAACAAAACCCAAAGCAAGTCTGACAAGCTTGGCTGTGAAAAATATTACAAGCATTCTGGAGACAAAACAGGACGTTATTCAGTCACGCAAATCAGTTCCAATTCCTTAGGGGGGGAAAATAATCTGGCGCAAGTGTTCAAACATTTCCACTCCTTGACTGTCGCTCTAGAGAGGGGTATGGAGCAGAGAAGAGTAAAAACAATCACGGCTCAAGTCCTGAGTCCTCTTGAGCAGTGGAACTTGCTCCACAGTCACAGCTCCCAGCACTCCCCCACTGGTAGTGAGTCCAATTCCTTCGTGTGCAAGTCACATTGCCATTTAAAAAATAAACCAACTAACCAAAGAACCTCTGTCAGGAAACAAATTCAAGTACCTGTTGCAGATCGGGCAAGTAAGGAAGACTGAACATTAGCTAGATTAACACTGGCAGAACTGCGATGTGAAGCTGTAATCTAAGAGACATGGCAATTCTTGACTGAGGTGCGACAGGGAAACGTTCCAGATAGTCAAATACTATCCCATATCTACAGGTATAAAATGCCTTTTTTTTTTTTTTTTTTTTTTTTCTCTCTTTTATGAAATCTTCATAGCTGGCCAATTTAAAGCAGAATGGGTCCGAGCACATTATCATCTGAGGCTGTTCAATGCCTCTACTACTTCTCATACTGGTTCTTTTTAGGTTCTGAGTTACACCTTTTCAAGCGATCATCTTTGGTAGATGTTCATTTCCCTCGTCTGTCTTGTAAATCAAGTGCAGTTACAAAAAGAAGTTTTTGTTACTTAAATTAACCAAAAAATATAAAGTGTCCCAGTCTGAATTTACCTAAAGTTCAGCGACTCCTCCTTATCAGAGTAATATTTTCCGTCCTTGAAATGGTGAGCTATTTTCCTTCCAATTCCTACCAAGAGGGAAATAAAAGGGCTTATATGTTTTTCTGGTAAAGACAGTCCAATAAAAAAAAAAAAAAAAAAAAAAAAAAAAGTAGTAGTTTGTGGAATCAGGCACTGCTTCACTCCCACTGAACGTGATCTAGAGTGACTCCTTTCATACAGTGCCACATATCATATCCTTATGGGATTCTCTTGATCAGAGAGGAGAAAATGTCATTAGAAAGAGCAGTGCTGAAACAATGCACTTTTCTTGTTTTAAAAAGCCCTCAAATCTATGTCTGGGCACTTCTGTAACATAAAAACCCACTTTTCCACCTGGGTCAAGTGGACTGTTAGAGGGTGCACCTAGAATTAGTTTTCTCTTAAGTCACACAGTGCCACACACTCACTCTTGCACACACACACACACGCACACACGCACACACGCACACCCCACATGCTGCTACAGTGTCTGTTTTAGTGTCACAGGCTGCGTTCTCTGTTTGGAAGTAGCCCCTCTTCATTTCTCGCTGACGGCTGAAGACGACTATGTCAGGATATTGGAGATAAATTCATTGAAGCGTTTAGAGTACTGCTCTGGATTCACGGTGGAGATCTCTGCCCCAGCCTGCAAGGCAGAGAGGAGAAAGAAGTCACAACACCCTCCTCAAAGGGCAGACCCTGCAGCACTGCAAAGGCTGGAGGAGAGAGGGCAGCAGGGAGCAATCATGTCAGCCCAGCCTGTCTCTGCCGGGAAAGACCCGTAACAACTTGCAAGTTCTAGGAAAAAACCAACATCCAGAAAAGTCTAGAGAGATCCCCAAGGAAACGGATTCTAGCTCCAGCTGGATCTTCTGCAGACCACTGAGTCAAAGCATTGGATTTGTTCCCTCGTGGTTTAAAGGAGATTTGGAAGGAGCATGAAAAACTCCATATCCTGCTAACCTGGGCTTTTTTCAAGCCCTTTTGGGAAGTTCAGGACTGCTGCCAGGGAACAGAACTGGCCCCAGGAAGGGGGCAGGGTAGTACGTCTGCCTGCAGCCAGTCCATTCTGTCGGTGCTACACCAGGGAAATCGAGCACCTCCCAAACGGGGATGTAAATGCAAGTCACCTCCAACCAACCAGAGGGAAAGCCTTTCCAAGACAGTCTGAGAAGTCAGTAAACAAGGGAAGCGCTGTTCTTGGGCACGGGGTGACTGGAGAATTTCCACACTGGTAGAAAAATCAGTGTCAGGATACAACACACATATGCACGCAGGCATGCAGGCAAAGCAGAAGCCTCAAAGCCCATCCTCCGTGCGGATGGCAGGCTGCTTACCCCATGTTTCACTGTTTTGGCAGCATGTGCAGCTTTCTTCTTTGCATCATATGGCGTAAGAATGTCTATAATGGCCATGAAGTACACTTCCTTCTTGGGGGCACCTAGCAAGGCAAGAGAGTCGCTAGCACACCCTGAGCTGTGAGCAAAGCCCAGCTGCACTCCCCTCCTTATGAAATATACGGCAGATCTGTTTTGATGCAACTAGCAGAGAAAGCAAGGCAGCTGGAGGCTGTAGAAGGGCAGAGAAGAATGACAGGGAATGGCACACTAGAGGCCCACACGCTCTCTGAACATGCCACTGCTCTCCAAGCATCACTTCTAGCCGTTCCAACTCACACCATCCACAACAAGGGACTGCACAGCAAAGGGGAGACACTCGGCAGGGTCTCTCTCCCCCTGTGGACAGTCCTCCCACTCCATTTAGCCCAGCCCGACCACAGGACACCTCTGCCCTCCAGACCTTTTTTAGGGCAATATTCCCCAATACTCACTTTCGTGGCTTTTCATGGCGTAGACGTCGACAGAGGGATCGAACTCTCCAGGCCCAAAGAAGCGAGGGTAGTTGAGGAGGTTGCCAGGGCTGTCAGGGGGTGTGCCATAGGAGGAAATGGGGTTGCCTCCAAGACCATCGTTCTCACACTCCTCATCCTCTGCTCGATCCTCCACTTCCATCTCTTCCTGCTCTGCTCGGTCAACATCGTGGATCCCAACCAGCAAGCTGTAGTCCATAATCTTCAGCTGAGCTAAAAACTGGGAGAAAGAGATGAGTGAGAACAAAAGCATCCACATGGGATCAGAAATCCTCAGTCCTACCCTACCAGTATCTCCCTAAGAAAGGGCTGTAGCGAGAGCTAAACCCTTATTAGACTCCAGAGAATCTACACATGAGCTCCTATGCCCACAGCATAACCCTGACTGTAATTGCTTGACTGATCCAAGAATGATTTACTTTTCAGTCACTCCTTGAGCCCGAGGCCACAGTGAGGATCCAGTTATGGAAGACAGAGTAAAAGCTGTCCCCCAGGAAACTCTACCTCCACGTCCCGCTTCAGCTTTTCAAGGAAGTTCTTTTTACTCTCTTCTCCAACATGCAGCTTCTGACCCTCATTCAAGAAGTCGTTGTCCTTGAACGTTGGTAGATCCTTGGCCTGCAACAAAAAGCCGGTGTCAAATTTTCCAACCCCCTGCTTCTTGGGGGAGGGCTGGTACACTGATCCATTAGCAATATTTTGATTGCACAGAGACTCTAATCGAGTGTGGGGTTGCACCAGGATCCTTTGCCTGTTTATAAGGTGAAGTGGCTCATCCTGTCCACTAAGTATGAAAATGGCATCAGGCAGAGCACAGTATTTGTCAATGAATCCATGTGCTGAGCTGTACCTAAGGGGGAAACTGAAGGGAGACACAGAGAGCAACTCAACTTAAAGACTGCCGGAAAGACGTGCTGCTGGCTGAAAGCTTGACAGCTGGGCTCCAGCCAGCGATGGTCCAACCAGTTCCCAGAATAGAAAAGAAATGCATTTTGTTGGCTTCAGACTGAGGGGAAAGGGTGAGGGCTTGAAAAAAATTGCTTCTCTCCCTAAAGACTTGAGGAAAAAAATAAAACCACTGCTTTTTGAGGAATTTGCTTGCAGCACGCCCTGAGGAATTCTCAGGGATGTGGAAGAACATACAACCCCTTTGTGCAACTGGGAATTAAATTATTTTGTTCTTAGGATGACATATGAGTGTGCGGTGGCTTTATATAGATCTACTAGGAATGGTCTGAGACAAGCCGCATAAGCAGAAAAATAGGAGAGTAAACAGCCAGCAAGCTGGGGACAATTAGGCACGATGAAGCCGTGCCTTGACGCCAGAGCATTCAGTATAAATGGGAGTTCCTTGGCTCATGCCAGAGATGTAATTTTAGGGCAGGCTGGAGTAGACTTACTCTGCAGTCCCAAACCTGAAAATCCCACGTGCATGTGCAAAACATCTAGTACCATGAGTTACTGCTGTGATTTCAACAGGCCTTTTCATGGCAGCATCACAGCCAAAGTTTTGCAGGGGCAGGATTCTTAGTCATAAGTTCCCCTAATGGCACCAGAAACCAAACTCACGAACATGCTGAGATATGCCAGGAATCTGAGAGGAGCTGGTCTGGTTTATAAAAGCATCTGTTGCAAAAGCTAACTGCTGACCTGACTCAGTTTGGTACACAGGGAGCGCTATGAAGAAATCCTTCCATAAAGACACCATTGCACTAATGTGGGTTTTGGTACTTGTGGGATTGTCCCCCAGGAAGTTCCCCCCACTCCTGGTAATGTCAACATAATAGAGCAGGGCAGGGCAGCACCAGATCTGCACCATCTCTTCCTGAACAGTTACTGGGTGCAGCCTAAAAGGTGGGACAGAAACAGGTTATCACTCAGGGCCCACTTAATATCCCCTGCTCAATACCCCTTTGGAAAAGGGAAGTCAGTTGGATCCCATCTGCTTCCAAGCACCAGAAGGAAGGAAAGGCTGGCCAGGAACGGTCCATACCTTCTCTTTATCGCTTGCTTCCCTGGATACTGTTGAGCCCTGATAAAAGAATAAAGAAAAGAGCATTGCTGCACTATGTGTCATATTCCCAAAGAATTCACTGACACCATTTAATTCTGCCATGCAGAAAAATAATAAAAAGTATTTTTAAAATCAGTGCTCAACCCCTTTTTTATGCCTGAGGTGGACTTACAGATCTCCCTGGTGTAGTGTAGGCCACTTGGGATGGGGGAATGGGACAACGTTTGAGTCTCAAGTGAAGCCCCATCCAGAGCCCCCCCAAACCTAATCCCTTGAACAAAAAGCAAAGCCCAGGACCTTGTCAGGTAGGTGTTACAGAGACCAGCTCCCACCCTCCTGGAAAAGGAGCTCTCAGCTCCACAACTGCCCTCCGAATACTCACCTTCAGGTCATATTTCCGGTGCACAGTCAGCCTGTGACTAAATACGTTTCTGGTAACCACCATGTAGGTTTCTACTCCGTCCACGGTGAGCCGGTACATGCCAAGGAACTGGGGCAGGAGGGTGTTCCCATGACACTCCACTATGAACTGGAGGAGAGTGGAGAAGGGAAGGACAGGGAAAGACAGTACTGTCACATAAAACCCATCTCTGACAGAACACAAGCTCAGCACGAAGCTGATAGCGAAGCCTCCAGTTCCAGCCATCTGACACTGATGTGAAAGGAAAGGAGGCTTGCAAATGGCTCCTAGGGTCTCAAGAAAAGCAAGTTAGGGCATTGTAAGAATCTTCCAGCCCTGAGCTGAGACAGAGCATCCCATTGTGCGTGCATGTCCAGCCTGCTGTAACAGGCTAGGTGTGCATGTCCGTCACTCAGTCTCAGCAGGGCGAGTCTGTTGTTGGCACTGGCTAGCTTCACTTCTTGTGCTTATATGTGTGTATCTGAAAGTAAAGAGCAGATGGACTGGCAGATAACGTGGACTGGGGTAGAACATTTCCAGCTGTCCCACTTTGCCCCCCCTCCCTTTCCTGCTGCATGTAACTGTCTCCCCCTGGTCCCCCTGGAAAGTCTGATTCAAAAGATTAAATTAGGAGCATGTTTACAGATCTCAGGTACCAGCAATCCATAATTCATTGATGTAAGGAACAGGATGAGCTGTGAAGGGGCTCAGCACTGTGAAGAAGCAGGCAGCTGTGCCACAATTGGCTCCCAGATGCTAAGGAACACTGTTGTCTTTTGCAAAAACCTCTGCCAGGTTGCACACTGTGAATCCAAGCTCCACTTCCCCAGCAAATCACAAGATGCTCCCCAAGGTTTTGCCACCTCCCCTCCCAGGGTTCCAGACTCACCGTACCTGATGGTACTTCTTTAAGATGTTGTGCATCTCTGCTACATCCTCGCTTGACACTGCCTTAATGACAAACCTCCTGTCGTAGGTGGTGAGGAACCGGGCCCCACATCGGCCCTGGCTGTCACTGTTCACTGGGGCGCTTCGTGTCACCGAGTTCTGAGGGAACCAGAACAAAAAAGTGGGGAGGAGAGGCAGGAGCTGCCACCTCCCTGGAAAAGAAAGAAGAGCAGTCTTGGAAAGCAGATGAGACATGGGTGACCAGGGCCAGCTCCACAACCTGGCTCTGGAACAGACATCCCAGGGACTTTGTGTTCCACCTTCGTAACTGTGAGTGTCCTGGCCAAGCTTCAGAGCACACTTGCAAACACACTCCAGTCGTGACCGTTAATAAGCAAGCATCCTTGAGTGTTCAGCACTACTGAGGTTAACCCCCTTGTTTAGAAGTCAGGACAGGGTGTTTAGAGCTTTCATAGAGCCTTGTATTTGTTTACCTGCTTTACTCCAACACCTGGCAGGCATTTTTTGAAATTGTTTTTTACTAATGAGTTATTATGGAGGCAATATACACAGACCAAAACTTCTTAGCATTTCCCCCTGGAAATCTAAGAACTGTCAGGATATTTCCAACATTTAAGGAAAAACAGAACAAAATGAATGAAACGGTCTGCCTTCCACCAAAAGTCTCATTGTTTAGGCATTCTTTACAGGTCACCCTGAAACCAAAAGCCACCCTCAGCCTCTGCTATTCTTACAATTGGACAAAAAAGACTGTGAGTATAAATAGCTTGGTTGTTCTTCCGACAACCGGCAGCATCTGTCTTTATATCCCTTTATGTCTCCACCCTTAGCAACGAAACATTACAGCTTCTTTTCATACTTGCAGCACAATTGGAAAATCCCATGCAAACTGCAATGTGAGCTTGTTGTTCTGATCCTTCTCCCCAGGTAGGAGGACTTGCTGTGAGCCTCATCCCACTGTTAGAGCCACTGCTCTTCACACCTTCCAGGCTAACCCAAGCAGGCCACCGGTCTCCTGCTTGTCTCCTCCACCGCTTTTGAGCAACTGCCTTCCAACTCCACCGCCCCAGTCACCAGTGTCTGCTCAGAAGCCATTTTGTCAGCCAACAGTATAGGCTCTCGCTAACATTTCCTTGCCACTGGCACAAGCATATGGTGAGAGTTGTGCTCTGAAACACAGTGGTACTGACACCTGGATGGTGGTCTTCAGCTCAAGGTAGATGTGGCTTTCAGGATGTCAGGGCTGGACAATGCATTTCATGATGTATTTTTTTAGCTGCTAGTTACACTGTTCTCTCCTTCCCTCAGCTCTCTGAAGAGCAGACAGCAGAGGGAGCCTGCTCTTCTGCAGACGCAGACACGCAGTGCTGCGAAAGAGGGATTTACCGTGTCACGATGCAAGTGAGCCGAGAGGTTTCCTTTCAGAATGAAGCATTTAAACCTTTTAAAACTTTAATGAAGCAGGGGAAAAACTCTACTCCTGCCAAAGGCTTTAGAAACCATCAGGAAGATAAAGGCAAACAAAAAACCCCCCTTGCTTCTTGCTGACATTTGCAAATGAGTCTGTGTTACACAGTTTAACCACCCCTCACCTCAAAACCACAGAGCTTTTCTTCTAGAGGAGATGAGAAGCAGAAATCGTGACCACATATGGACATTAGCAAATTCACAGCCCTTAGGTTTACTTCATTCCCTTCCTGTCACTCTCACCTCTTCCACAGTTCGGGTGTTATATTTAGCATCCTGGCTCGATTCCCACTCAAGCCATCACATTTTACCCACCTGAATTTAGCTCAATGAATGTTTTCTGCTTTCTGTTCTAGCTGGACACTTTTAAAGAGCCAAAGTGGTCTGCCCCTGAGATGTGAGAAGTAATCCTTCTGAGCAACAGGCAAAGCATAAGTGATACACCAGGTATTGAGAACCAACAAGGCTGTGGGTACTTCTATGGAAGTTACTTCACAAGGTTCTGATCATTTCTTAAGAGAAACTGAGAAAAAAAAAAAATCTAAAATATACTATAGCGGATGGACTGGGAGAAAAAATAATTAGGAGCTAATGACTTCACTGCATGCAAGTGAGTTGAAGGGTATGGAGGAAGCCAGCACACAAAGTAGTTCCCTGGTACAGCCAGCCCCAGGGGCAGGGTGCTGCTGGCCAAGCAGTCTCCTCAAGAGCCAGACGCAGCCTGGCATGAACTACTGTCAACAGACCAGGAGGCAATGGCACTGCTTCTCCTGGCAAAATGCCATTGCTGCCTAGAGAACAGCCCTGACAGTCGGAGGGAAAAAATAAAATTAATAATCTACCAGGCATGTGCTCAAGAAAAGCATGGACTGAGCAGCCATGTCCTGAAAATAAGAGATCTTCCATTGCAAGCAGAAGAGATCTGTGTGTGCGACTCGCATGGCTCGCAGGTAATTACAAGGCACTGAGCACACACAGGCACAAAGAACGGCACCTGCCTCCTAACGCCGGGCTCAGCTCTATCTCCGTCAGCAGATGGGCAGTCACCCAGACCAGAGCCGCGACAGGCAGCCACGAGGCAGCAGCCAGCATTTACTATTCCTCCTGGGGATGGCCGGCGCCTTGCAGAAGAAAAGCAAAGATGACTGTCAGTTCTGCTCAAAAAACGTGTCTCACTTTGAGCAAACACCCTCAGAGTGCCCACCATAACTGAGAACACGCAGAAGAGTAGGATGGGCCCTGACAGCCAGAAGAGAGGCAACTGAGACACAGTTACACAAAGAAGTAAAAAGCCCCAAACACTGATCCCGGTATCCTCAGAGGTCACCCTTTCTCACAGAGGGACCAGCATGTTCCCCTTGGTCTGGGAAGGAGGGGAAGAGGATGGGATGCAGGTGCTACACATCTGCTCCTTGCCCCATACCATGAGTCTAGAAACTGGACTGAGTAGATCCAGTGTCTCACCAGTGCAATGAGCCACGCAGCTGGAGTAAGAAAGCAGATCTCTTCATTATATTAACCTTGAAACAGGGGGAGATCAGCCAATAAGCTAGATATAATCGTGGAGAATTTCTACATGCTTGGAGAGGGCGTATACACAGATGTACGTGGACATGGGCACACAGGCACACAACCAGCAGCAAGCACTTCGGTGGGATTAGCAGTTCTGCTCCCATCTCCTCTCCCCACAACACAGGCAGCAGGGAGCACAGCTGGGCTTGTACATGAAGCAAAGAAGGGAGAGAGCAAGCTTGTGCCACTCACCCACCGCTCCAGCATTAACGTGCTGCTCTGGGCTGGTGGATTCCAGAGAATATTTTAGTTGAAACCCTCGACCAGTCAGTGCTGGCACATTGCCAGCCTTTATCAACTGCAGTGGAGTGCCAGAGATACGGGGTTTAATTACCTAATGCTCGGCCTGCTAAAGGCCACGCAGCTATCAAAGCCACTCTCTTTTTCTGCACTGGCTTTTCCCTCGAAGAGGTCTCCAAGCAGCCTGCTACTACACATCTCCTGCGTGCGTAAGACTAAGAGCTGTGTGTGGAAGGGTGGCCCTGCTGCAGCAGCAAGAGCTGTGACATCTCTCTCTCACTGGATTTAAGCCCAGCGGTATTAATACAAGAAAATGTCTCTCCCCTCCAAGGCAAGTCTGAGCCTCTGGCCTTAGGGGACGCTTCCCAAAGCAGCAGCCACCTTGATAAACCCAAATCAACAGCACCAATGCTTGGCACACGCACTTGGTTAAAGCAGCACCCCAATCTGTAAAAACACGACAGACTCATTTTCCTTGCAGATGTTCTGCACTAGATCATTGTTATCCTCAAGCTCCCGCCTGTCTGCAACCATCTGCTGCCTCTTATTTTATGCCTAGACTGTAAGCGCTCTGGAGCAGGGACCATCTTTTCATTCTGCGATTGCCCAGTGCTTGGCACAGCAAGTTCTACTCCATTGCTGGGGGCCTTTAGGATTATGGTAAAACCATTCAAATCATGATTATAAGCCCATAAAAACTGACCACACAAGAATGTTGATATTGTAGTTTCTCTGCCAGCTTGGTTATTCTGTCCTAGGGAGAGGTGTTAGGAGGGCAGGGAGAGAAGAGACGGTACCTGGTAGTCTTGATCGTCAATCCCAAATCTTTCTCGGAGGTTTCGGAACACCAGTGGACAATACTCCTTAAACTTAAAGCGACTTGGCAAATTTTCCCTAGGGCAAAGCAGAAAAGATATTCTTGTGCAACGATCAGTTTGTGAAATCAAGCTCAATTCTTCTCCGACTTGACTGCTAACTCCCCAGGATATCCAAGCCCCCTCCTTACCTACAAGGGCCCTGTTTTGCAAGTATTTACCCTCATTAGGGTAGCTTGTTTCTCTGGCTGCCTACAAAAGTCATCTGTTCATGGAAACGCTTGCAGGATCCTGCTTTTGACTAACAGGATCTTTGGATGAGGATGTCTGTCTTATAGAACAATCTCCCCTGTCACAAGCACAGATTTGACAGAATAATTTCTCTCTTTCCTCCTCCTTTGTTGCTTTGTTCCGTTCAGTATCACAGCTGCCCCCTGCAACACACTGTTACTGTTTAAGATGAAAAGCTGGAGGAAAAGGGGGGGGGCCTCTGATTTCAGATCAGATCAGATCACTCGTGTGTCAAAAGAAAGGTCAACACAAGACAAACCATCTCACCCAGAACGCAAAGGAGAGGGGGTGAATCAGGTCCAGTCTGGCATTTTCCAGACCAGTCCCAACCGTTATGAGCGAGCTTTGCTGCCAGGCCTCGCCAGGCGGGAACGGGGCCTCCCCAGAGCACAGTACAGTGGACGACAGACAATGTTCCCCGTCACCGAGGGATGGCTGCATCTACTCTCTATCAGAGCTCTTCTTCTGCCCAGTGGGAAGAAGCAGAGAGGGTGGTCCTGCTCAGACACAGTGGGAGACTTTGTCAGCTCATTCTCAATGAGAATCCTTTGCACCAATATGTGGGAAACTAAAATCTACGTAGGAGAAGAGGGAAGAGCAGGTACTGCAAATTGTGGGTGCCAGAGAAGACAAACTTTTGAATCACACTCCCACTCTCAAAAGCTGATCCCTACGAAATTTAGTGAAAATGAAGCATTAATCAGGGAACACTGGAGGCCTGCACATGGACAGAGCCAGGGTAGAGAAGAACACAGCTCTGAACACCAGTCAGAACCATGGCTTTAAAAGGGCTTCCAAAAATTGATCTTTTGGGAAAGGAGAAGGGGGTGACTCCATACAAACCCCATGGGCCAGGGGTATAATGCAGCATCACAGCTGTCTCCTGTGAACAGTCTCAAAGAGACAGGGAACCCAGCAGGTCACTGGGAGCGAACTCCTGCCCTCTCCTCCATGGTCTTGGGATTTGGGTTCTGCTGCTCAGGACAGGACACCCAGACAGGGCACAGGAGGAGTCAAGAGACAGTCCTGCATCAGTTTTGTGTTGTGGTTTAACCCAGCAGGCAGCTAAGCACCACACAGCCATTTGCTCACTTCCCCCCCCGCAGTGGGATGGGGGGGAGAATTGGGGAAAAAAAAAAAGTAAAATTTGTCGGTTGAGATGAAGACAGTTTAATAGAACAGAAAAGGAAGGGGAAATAATAATAATAACAATAATGATAAAAGAATATACAAAATAAATGATGCACAATGCAATTGAACACCACCCGTTGACCAATGGCCAGCCCGTCCCACAGCAGCCATCGCTGCCCCCCCGGCCAACTCCCCCCAGTTTCTATACTGGGCATGACGCCATACGGTATGGAATAGCCCTTGGACCAGTGTGGGTCAGCTGTCATGGCTGTGCCTCCTCCCAGCTTCTTGTGCCCCTAGCAGAGCAGGGGAAGCTGAAAAGTCCTTGACCAGTGTAAGCACAACTTAGCAAGAACTAAAAACATCAGTGTGTTATCAACGTTATTCTCATACTAAATCCAAAACACAGCGCTGTGCCAGCTACTAGGAAGAAAATTAACTCTATCCCAGCCGAAACAAGGACAATAACCAAGATGTGCAGCAAACTCCAGCCCTAGGACTTTGGACAAGTTACACTTTGTGAACGCTAAAATGTTAAGTGTATTCTACTCAGTCCAGTGAATATCTATATGTAACTAGCTTTGTTTTTAAGTAGTGCCACTTCTGAGCCTGGCCTTACCAGACTTCTCATCACTCAAAGGGTATAAACCAAACCACAAGACAGCGTCTTGGTGACACACTGACCCCTTGCCACGTCCTGATGAGTGATCTGGACAGGGCACAGACTCGGGGCATGTGTCCAGCCAGACCAAATCCTCTTGGCATTACAGCAAAGGCGTTCACCACGACAGTTTCCTCCACAGCAAAGAGCCCTAATTACAGAGACAAACAAGTTGGGAAGCACCTACTTACTTGTTGAATAGATGATTGTCCACCTTAATCTTACTGTAGGCTTTAAAGTCATCGGGCATTAACATGACAGGGACGGGAACATTGCTGAGTTCGTTGATCTAAAAGGGAAAGGAAACAGAGAGTCAAAACCCAAAGAGAAAGGGAGACTCAAACCCCGAGTTCCACTGCCCTGCAGTTACTCAATGGACTTAGGGGCATTGCAAACACCCCAGAAGCTGCTTTGGAAACAATATAACCCATTAGACCTTCAGAGCAACTTGCTGTGCTGAAGCAAGCTGGAGAACATTGTGGTTACAAGCCACAGAAGCATCTCACTCAATCATGTGGTGAGTACGCCTGAGCCAGCCTTGGCTCTTTCATCTGTTCACCTTCCACTGATCATCCAAGACACAGCTTAGAAATGAGACAAACCTGCAGACCGAGAAATAGCAGATTTTATGTTTTAAATAAATCACCTTTGCCTTTATTTAGGAAACGTTGCATCAGACAATTTCTTAACTAGTTCTCACTGTTACAAATCATGGATGACCAAAGCCTTCACCGTGGCCAGCCAGAAGAGACTCTGGGTAGCTTTGGTGCAGCACAGCACAGCTCCCCTGTGGATGCTGTTCCTGTGCTTGCTGTGTCTTGTTGCTCTTATCCCACCTTCTCTAAAGGGATGAGTCACTCCACTAGATTGTTTTTGCTCCTTAGTCATGTGTGGCAGCCACAGGAATACAGGGAAGCAAAAGAATGAACGTTCAGCTACTATTGTACAGACAGGCTCATGCTACAGCACCCAGCAGTGAAAGCATCAATAGTAAGGAAAAAAAATTAACAAATCCACCTCTGGACTATAACTGGCTACCCTGCTCCAGACAAGCCCATGCACTGACAAAGATGTGCCAGCGTTCAAGAGCAGGTCAAGAGGCAGCACATTTCTGAGCTGCCTTTTCTGAGGATGGCCCCAGTGTCATTCATTCACGCAGACTTCACAGGGATCACATGAGTCCCATCTACTTGAGTCGCTCTTAGCATGCTGGATTTAGGAAGCAGCTTCATTACAACTCCATTCCCATAATTACTGTGCCAAGCAGGTAATGCTGGAGAGAAGCAGACAACACTGGCAACAGCGGGGTTTGGCTAAGAGTCAAGCCCGGGGTCTGTTCCCAACACCAAACCTTAGGCAGGTCAAGTGACTTCCAGCATGCTTGGAAAGCAACGTGGCATTTCCCTGCTGACTGGGAACCGGGTCCAAGCCATCAGCCTAAGGAAATGGACTCCAGTTCTGGGATTCCCCGCTCCTTGTGTGCAACAGGACACACAACACTGTCCAAATAGCTGCTGCCACATCTACCCCAAGGAGGTGGAGAGGAAAGGAGGCGTGAGCGAGCCATTCTGCAGCAGGATCTGTGGCACAGTTCAGGTCTGCAAGGACCGAGGAGGTCCCAGCTCTGGAGATGTGCAGCGAGCTGTCCAATTATATGAGCAAGCTTTTGGTGAGGTATATATTTTTTCACATCCTTTCTCCATCATTACCAATGAAAAAACAGACCAGATTTAACAAATGTCAGACTGGAAAGAAAGACACATACACACTGCAAAGAGAAAAAGATGACTATTTTCAGAGACAGTCATCCCACACAACAGATAAGCGGAAAGTAAACCGGCCACCGCTCCGTTAAGAGCAGAGATGGTGCTCTTTAAAGCCCTGCCCTGTATTTAATTTATAGCAGCACCGAGGAGCACTAAGCACTCCCATAAAGTGCTTTGGGATGTATGGAGAATGCTGCACAGATGAATGAATAAATAATGTCACACACCTCCCATCATTTGTAATCACACTGGAGCAGGGAGGCCAATACCCCCCGGCTTAAGCTAAAGGCTCAATCCTGCACTGAGCCACTCCTCCAGCTGCAGCTAGAAGAGAGGAGAGGCAAGAGGACTGCAGGTGAGGAAGAGATCTCCCAGATCCTGGTGTCCAGCTCCCAGCTACTGCAGGGAGCTGCAGCAGAGAGCCCCATGCAGTGACTTCCCCTCAGGGTGAAGGGGGGGAAGAGAAAGCAGCTAAATCTGTATCACGAAAGAGGCGCTACCTCCAGCTACTAATTATTGCTGTCTAACAGGAGGGGAAGCCCGACAGCACAGCTCCTTAGACACGCCTGTTCTCAGCCCTCTTCTCGGCGGTGGGTAAGGCACAAACAAGCTATTATCGGCTTGTTCCAGAGCGGAGGAAGGGTGCTGACGGCTGAGAGGGAACAGCGATTTGGAGATTGTCTCCTCCCTGCCAGAAATTCAGACACAAATGTTAGCAAAGTGAGATGTCAAGACGCCTCTGGATGTCCTCGTTTCTGCCAGAGCAGGAACCTCAAAGCAAATGTTGTACCTGTTGCAAGTCTCCTGACTGGCAGAAATGGTGCGCCGGGATACCTCGCCTCATTTAAAAGATGCCCCCACTCTTCCCAGGATGTAGCAGTCTGACAACAGCCAAAAAAATCCCCCCTGCAGAAGCTTTTCCCCCTTTCCAGCTGCGCAGAGCAGAGCTTTCTGGATGCTTCAGGATTCTGGTTCTGGAGGAGATGGGGAGAAGGAAGGGATTTGTGCTGGGGACCAGAATTGCTGCCAGAGCTGAACTGGCCATTTCTAGTCCCTGCCCTCCATCGCACAAGGCAGCTCTTGGTCAGATGGCCTTTGTTCCTGACACCGGTGTGAAAGCAAACATCAGTCTGGTTAGGGGGTTTGTTTGTTTGTTTTATTGTTTTGTTTGTTTGTTTTTTAAGAGGGATGTGCACTGTCTCCTCCTCACAGTAACTCCTCATGCTTGACACTGTCCTCAGGATCCCAAAGGAAGAGGAATGAAAAGCCCCCACGCTGCCTTGGAAAAGGGAAATCCCAAACTTTCCTTTCTCGTAGTACAATCCACAGCATCCAGTGGCCCCTTCCTAAGGCTTATCAGGCCAGGTCCTGCAACATGGTGCCAAGTGAAACACTAGGAGATCTTGCCCAAATGAAAGCAGTGGACAGCACCGCTCTATAGGGATCCTCTCCTGTGCTTATCATGGTGGAATCTGAGCAGCCTCCGAGAGCAACGTGACTAACGCCTGGCACATGTTTGCTCTCTCGCCTTCTCCCCAGGGAGAGGCGTGTAGCAGGAGATTATATATAGCAGAGAGTGTGTGTCTCTGTATTTATGCTACAGAAGGCAAGGTCACAGCAAGGTGCATAGCAATGAGGTGCCCAGCAAGCCCTGGCTCCTGGGGAGTCCGTTCACACGGGTCTGACCCGTCTGTCTCCCACGAAGAGACATCACCCAGCTGTAGAAAGTGTGCCTGTACCTGGAGCTTTGGAGATCTCTGGGGCTGGTGCTGGCCACCAGATGGACAGCGAGATCTTGGGTTTGGTTCTTTGTTCTGGAAGAGGCGGCTGCAGGGAGAAGAGGTGCAGCAGCAGACAGCACCGCAGTCACACACCTCGGTCCCTCACCGCAGGGGTCACGGGCTATTTTGAGAAGCACAGCAACCGCGAAGAGCAGGTCCACGCTGCACAGCAGTCTGCGCCTGGGGTACTTCCACTACATCTCCACTATAAAGGCTTTAGAGGTCCCCAAAGTGGAAAAAGTTAAAAACGGCCAATTCAGAGCACAAGCTCTTCAGACCAGGGATCTGTCTCCAGACCCAGCACGATGCTGGTTTTCTGTAAGTCATCCAGCTTTTTAGACCTAATCTGCCTTTGAATCCTCTTGAAAATAAGCCCATGTTTTTGCACAGTCTTCTTATGCCAGGAGTTTTCTGTCCCCCCACTGGGTAGAAAACAGACAATCTGACAGGGACCAGTCCAGGCTGAAAGCACCATTAGGAAGTGAGTTTTGCCACTGCCTCCTGCATTTTGCAGAAAGACATAAGACACTGGTCCTGCCCCTCCCCAGGCCAGAGGCAGAGTGAATGGCACATGCCCGTCAGCCTCAGAAAAGACTCAGACACGCACCAGGCTCGGAGGATCTCAGAGGATTTAAAACCAGACACATTTTAGACAAACCAACTGACATCTTCACTAGGCAACAGGCACTAAGAAAGAGAGGCTTGGCATTTCTCTGCTGGTTTCACCATATTCGGAGAACAAAGGAGCAATTTCCCAAGGAAAGCAAGCAGCCCGTGTGTCCGGAGGTCACCCCAGCAAAGGAGAGAGGTAAGGGAGCAGATTGCCCGGTGTGTCAAAACCAGCCACGATCTCAGCCAGAGCCCTGGAGGGAAAAGCAGCCTGATGCCACTGAAGGAGGGACCAGGGCTTGGGGCAACAGCAGGAGGTGACAGAGAGAAGACCCTCACCTCTCCAAAGCTGCAACTGCAACCGTCCTCCTCTATCTGCCCAGCAGCAGAGGAACAGCAAGCTCAGCTCCGCTGTTTCTCCAGCTTCCGAGCCAGCAGCTCTCCCCTTCCCCCCGCAGGAGTGGCCGGGCCCTCCATCCTCAGTCAGCAGATTTCATTTTTGCCTACGCCGCCGAGAAGTCTACAGCCACCCCTGGCCTTAGAGGGCTGGAAAAATACCACCTCCCCTCCGTCTGTTCAGCCCGTATTTCCTGGTCACTTGAATTCTTGAGCAACACCAGTCAGTACGATTCTGGGTTTATCTGTAGTTGATAATTTGTCTTCCCCACCAAAGCCAATTCCTTTTTCAATAAAAGACACATCAATATTCTGTGTCATTCAGGGACAGCTGTTAGAACGAATGGGCCAGGCATAATTTTGTTTCAAAACCTGACTGTAGCCTCGAAGTAGCAATTACCATTAGTAAATTGATGGGAAAATGCAATTTGTTTACTAACAAGATCCAGATGACGGAGTGTGTGAGTCTACTCTCTAGGATTCTTTACAACAGGAATTTGCTCAGGAAAATAAAAATACTTTGTTCTTCTCAAAGCCTTTCAATCAGACATCTCAAAGTACTTTGTGAGAATTAGTTAAAGTTTATAATACTCTGGGGAAGTAGGTAAGAGACACATAGCAAAATCACTTTAACGAGCATGGAGACAAACCCGCATCTGCAGCAAAACTTTGCCGCTGCTTAACACAGTACAGCAACTGGGCAACGGTTTGAGAAAAAAAAAATACTGTTTTCCATGAATTAGAGCATGATTAATCAGTATCCAAGCTCACAAAACCCCCATGCAATGCCATGGAAGCACAAATCTTGTAGTCAATAATTTCTATCGGTGCTCTAGGGACACCAGCATGCTTTAAGAGGGGAAAAAAAAGCATCCCCTAGTGACGGGGAACCCACCTCTTCTTGAACAAAGTACTTTGGAGCCTGCTGGAAAGCACTCTCACGTCCTGACGGAGCTGCAGCACAACACTGTGTCACAGGCAGAGGAATCAGGCAGTGCTACCCTGCTGCCCCGCCAGCGCAGGGCAGCCTGTCACCCATCGCGTCAGCACGGCCTCAGGACCACCGGAAAACATCCGTCCTCCCAGTCCACTTGCAGGCAGGCAGAGCTATTGCTTCCCTTGGTTCAAACGAGCTGAGGAATGGAAAGGTTAAACGACCTACCCACGGCCACACAAGTCAGTGGCAGAGCACGCAACTGAGCCCCATTTTCCTTGCTGAACTACCCAGGAAAATCTTCTTTTCTCTCCGTACCCCAGGAAGGAAATGGGCTCCTGGAATCTCTGTTTTAACAGGAGGTCCTGGGATAAGAAGGTTCAGAGCCACCGGCCTCGATCATTAACACGGGTTATCACGGCCATCGCCATATGCTGCACTCTCCAGAGGTCAATTAGAGCCACAGCAGACAGCAAGCATTGGAAAGGACAAATAGATGCTGTTTACCCTGTGCCAGTACCAATTTATAGGACTTCAACATTTGATATGTGGCAGATGCTGCTCTGGCTAGAATTAACATGGCAACACCAAAAACAACGCTGCAGAGAAGGGAGAAGCGTGCTGCAAATCCCAATTTTGCTATTTCACTTGAATACTAAATAGCTGTGTTCTGTACTGGCTGGCACCACTCCTAAAGGTCCTAGGAGATCGGCTGGTGCTTCAGCCAGTGAGCCTCTGGAGCACAGGAGGCTGCCTTGGGCAAGATCCACACAGCCAACAGAAGAGATCTACCCATTTCAAAAAAAAAAAAAAGGGATTTGTTTATGCCTACACCCTGCCCCTGCCAACACCCACAGAGCTCCAGGGATCGCCTCCCGTCGATGAACTGCCACCTAGAGAAGCATCATCATGGCCCGTATGGACTCGATTGTTCATTTAATGAAGAGAAACAGAAGTCACCTCTCCAACAACCCCCGAACTCACTGGGATCCCAGTGCCTTGTATAATCAGCACCTTACAACTGTTTCTATGGTTTCCAGAGCATCACACAACACTGCCGTGTTCATCTTGCTGTTCAGTGCGAGATGGCTTCTCCCTTCCAGAACCATCACAACTTTCCCTCCGCCGCTGGCGAGCTCCCATGCACGGTGAACTCCGGCCAGAGTACGGAGAGCACGCACGGAGCAACATGCACATAACCAACATGGAGGAGCTGTATCTCCTCTTCCAACGCCATGACAACAGCGGTCGCAAGCAAAGCTTCCCCAGGAACCATCTCCACGTTTGCTGAATTTTACATTGCCTTACAGAAAACTCAGAAATCAAGGGGGAGCCTCCGTGACTCCGCTTTCCTCTCCTATCTGCACGAGTTCTCCCCTCCACGGTTTTCTAGTTCAAAATTTGGCTGTTGGACTAATACCACCCACGTTTGGCCCTGCTTACACCAGTCACAGCCCCACCCCGATCCCGATTCGCTCGGGTTAAACGCTGGCTGGAGACCACCAGCACAGCCAAGACCCAGCTCGCTATTTAAACAGAAATGCTTAGAACTGGTGTTCCAGAAACCAGTTCCTGTTCTTGGTGCGCTAACATCATTGCTCCTGATCCTCTCCAGACCCATCACTGCCTGTATTCACACCAGCTGCTAACAAGCTTGTTTAAACACAAGGCAGGGCCGAACTATTGCCAGACTCGGTTAATGGACCCAAGGGAATTTCTTCAGTCAACAGAAATGGTGGATTGCATAAAATGGTTGTTTGTTTGATTTGTCCATGAAAAAGTTCATCTCTAATGCAAGTATTTTTGACAGAATCTTCCTGGCGCAGCCTCGTGGTTTGTGCTGATAGCAGTTTTCTCCCTCTCCTACTGCAGGGATCCCAAGGCATAGACAGGGGATTCATCCCTCCTTGTAAAACCTCCTTTGGTTCAGAAACCAAACATTAAACAAACCCCCCAAAAGATTTCTAACAAAGTCCAAAGATACCCCTGAAAATATTTCCAAGCTGTCCAGACCCATCTGCTGGAAGCACATAAGCAATTCCACTTCCCATATAAGCAGGGCACCAACATCATCTCCCAAATGCAGACCAGGATGAGCAGCTGCTCGTGTGTTGAGTAAACAAAGCCACCTCAGCTCACAGCCTGCTCTGCAGCGCGGCCACACCAGCCACCAACCCTCCTGGGCACTCACAAGGCTCACCCACATGCAGACCGAGATCGGTGGCAGAAAGGTGGAGGAAAATGAATTAGCAAGAATTTGTTGAGAAATCCTGGATGTCTGTCTAAGGGTGAGGAGGTCACAGTTGAAATTTTCTAACCCCCTTCCCAGCCCCTCAGGATACCGTCCTCCTTTCTGGCAACAATTTCTTCATAACATCCATCCAATATAATCTCATTACTAGCTTAGTGTTCATACAGAACTGTCAACTTGCCTTCTTCCCTTTGCCTAAATATTTCACAGCCAAGCGCTCCAGAAGTCCCATTGTCCTGATCCAGTGCCTAAAAAAGTTGCCAGATTCCTGGTACCCAGAGAGCTACAAGAAAAAGGCTAATGTCCCCAAGAGGCCACAAATGAAACTCAGAAGAATCCCACCAATTTCCATTTCTTCAGGGCTCCTAATAGCACCACTGATCAAAGCCTGATTAAATTCATTATCCTGCTTCCTGGGCAAGGCTCTGAGCAGCAAGACTTGGAACATCCTTTGACTCAGAAAGACAGCGCTGTGTTGAACTACATTTGGGAGCTTTCACTCCATCATCAGGCAAGCTAGAAATACAATTCTAATTTTTTGCATGTGTTATTTGTTTCTGCAAAAGTTAAACCCTTTCACTCGCTAGGAAACATCCATTAATCCACTGGAGAAATAGGTGCCTGAGCCCTGAAAGCATATTATTTTAGGAAGGGATGAGGTTTCTGAATTCTTTGACCACCCGAATATACTCCCAGAACAGCATCCAGAGAGCAGTGGCAAATCAATTCCAGCACAAGATTTGTGCCTGCCATCACAGACAAGGGAGTAGTTTCAAGAGAAAAATATAAAGATGGTCTCAGGAACCTCCAAAGGAGGTGGATCAAAGAGCTGAGCCTTCACTGACGTTTCCAAGGGACCCTCTCCCAGCTCCCTCCTAAGACTCGTGCCAACCCAGGGAAACCGAGGCCAAGAATCCAGGGGACATACGTGGCCTGAGCTCTGGTAGCTGAGGCCTAAAGTCAGAGGGAGACAATGTTGGACAGATGAGGCCAAAAAGACCCTTTTATATTTTGGGAGGGACAAGAGCCGTGTAATTCTCATACAGCCACAAGGAACAGGATTGTCTCTGTGCACGTGGGACCTCTGGGTCGTCACACGTGGGAGTCCCCTCACCATTATGGGACCATAGGGACTGCCCTGAGCGAGAAAGCCAGGGGTTGTGACAGAGGACAGCGCTGTGGGTGTCAGAGGAATGTCCTCAGGGCCTCTGGTGCCAGAGAGGGGGTGTGCCAGGGCAATGGCACCCCACACGAGGGGAAGCAAACCAAAATGGCATCACCCTCCCCACTCCCGCCTCAAGTCCTGGGAAAGAGAAGGGAGGGTGTTGGGGAAGAGGACACAGGCAGACGGGTGGGTGTGAGGGGACAGCCACGCTCTGGCAAAGAGAAGCGTCTTGTGGTGGGGAAGCCTAAAGCCACCCCAGGCGTGAGGAAGGTGATGTCTGGGAGGGACGCCCTGACCTGGGGGGGAGGGGGGACAGACGGACACCCAAACCACCCAGAGACAGGGATGCTCTGCGCAAGGAGCCCCAAGCCCAAAGGCACCACCAGGGACAGGGATGGCGCAGACCCCAGGGAGCCCCTCCTGACAGGGCGGGCATCCACCGGGCCGGGAGGACCAGCGGTCCTGACACCGGGGTGCCCTGGGAGTGGGAATCCAGGGAAGGACCCGGATTAGGGAACAGATGCCAGGGGGGAGGGAAGGCTGCGATTTAGGGG